GGGAAAAAATAACTGAACAGGGACAGGAAAGAAGAAGAAAAAGAAAAATATATAATGATAATGGGGCTCCTTACTTGCTTAATGAGTCTCAGTATGGGGACCCTCTTTGCCTTTGTGCCTTCATTAGCTCATTTGATCTGCGGTTTTTCCATTTATGAACAACTTATCACACAATTTCAGGGTCAAAACAAAGTTGAAGGCTCATACATTCCAAAATCCATTTGACCTGTCAACTTCACCATAAAATTGACCTATTCCTAAATTTTGTGAGACAGGCAACTATCCTAAAGGGAGTCAATAATACTAGACTGAAATTTTATTGGTATTAATTCAATAAATATTAATGGAGTGCTTTTTTTTAAATGTGTTAGTGGCAATGAATGATTTCTGTGACTCTACAGTCAGTAAGATACAGTCCTTGCAGTCAAGGACATGACCACTTAGTAAGAAAGGCAGACACTGAAGCAATTATAATGCAGTGAGATCGATGTTATAGTGGGAGTAAGCCCAAGAGTTTGTAGAAGTCGACTGACATGATTTCAGAGGACTTCGTATATGAAGGGAGCCTTGGACTAAGATCTGAAAGCTGAGAACATGTTATCGGGATGACAAACAACCTGACCAAAGAAAACCTGTGCAAAAAGGTAGGAGAAAGCATGGAACTAGAAGAATGTCTGGAAGCTGCAATTTTGGGTGGAGGAGAGGGACAGTCATGAGTTTGACCCAGCAGTTCCACTGCTAAGTATCTAACCAAAGGAAAAGAAGTCATTATATGAAAAAGACACTTACACACGAATGTTTATAGCATCACAGTTCACAACTGCAAAGATGTGGAACCAACTTAAGTACCCATTGACTAACGAGTGGATAAAGAAAATGTGGTATACAGACACCATGGAATACCATTCAGCCATTAAAAGGGATGAAATAGTGTCTTTTGCAGCAAATTGGATAGAGCTGGAGGCCATTATTGTAAGTGAAGTAACACAGGAGCGGAAAATCAAAAACCTCATGTTCTCGCTTGTAAGTGGGAGCTAAGCTATGGGGACACAAAAGGATACAGAATGACATCATGAACTTTAGAGACTCAGAAAGGGGAGGGTGGGAAGGGGTCTAAGGATAAAAAACTGCACATGAGGTACAATGTACATTAGTAGGGTGACAGATATAATAAAGTTCCAGAATTCACTACTATGTAATTCATCCATGTAGCAAAAAAACACTTGTACCCCAAAAGCTATTGAAATAATTCTTTAGAAAAAGAAGTATAGACAAGAGTTAAATCATATAGGGCCTTGAAGGCAAAATTGTGTTTGAACTTTTTCGTGGTAGCAAAAAGCATATATTAAAGGATTTTAAACAGGTAAATTGTTTGATATAATATTATTTTTGAAAGATCACTAGCAAATTAATAAGAAGATAAATGAGTACTGGCAGGGAGGTTAGCTAGGGAGTTATTCCAGTAATGCTAATTATATAATAAATGAATCTGAACTAAAGTAGTGGCAGCAAGGAAAGAGAAAAGTAAATAAAGACATGTACAATATGACAATTTTACTGGGGATTAAACCCTACCTGGGATGATTGCTTGCTGGGGCTTAGCACCAGGGTCCATCCAGTTCACACTTAACAATAATTAAATACTTTATTGAATAAATACAATACCAAACAAAAATGCTTTCTAAAAAATCAGTTTTAAAGACCTTTCTAGAATTTACCTATGAGGGCATCTAGCTCTACATTTTTCTTTGTTCGAGGTTATTTGATTATTAATTCAATTTCTTTACTTGTTATAGATCAATTTAAATTTTCTGTTTCTTCATAAGTCAGTATTAATAGTTTGTGTCTTTCTAGGAATTTTTCAATTTTATTGAGGTCATTAAATTTGTTGAATATAATTGTTCACATTATTATCATATAATCCTTTTTATTTATTTGAGGTCAGTCATGATATTACCTCATTCCTGCTTTTAGTAATTTGAATTTATTTTTTTCTTGGTTAGTTCAGCCAAAATTTTTTAAAAAATTAATGTTTTCAAAAAAAACCAACTCTTAGTTTTGTTAATTTTTCTAGTTTTTCTTTCCTCAATTTCATTATTTCTGTTGTAATCTTTCTCATTTCCCTTTTACTGTTTGATTTGAATTTAATTTGCTCTTTTTTCTAGTTTCTTAACCTTGAAGGTTAAGTTGTTGATTTAGATCTTTTGTAGATAGCATTATTTCGATTATATTTTTAAATAATTCTATCTTTTGTTTGGAGTGTTTAGTTAATTTACCTTTAATGAAATTACTGACAAGATTTATGTCTGCTATTTTCCTATTTATTTTCTGTGTGTTTTATATATTTTCTATTCCTCTACTACTGCCTTCTTTTGCATTAAATAGACATATTCTAGTACTACCTTTAAGGTATTTGTTTTTCTCTTTTACTATATATTTGTTAGTTTTTTTGTTTGTTTGTTTGTTTTTCTGGTTGCCCTGGAATTTAAACTTAAAAAAAAATCTTGTTTGGATCAAAACCAATTTCATTTTAATAGTATACAAAAACTTTGTTCCAAAATATCCCTATTCCTTCATCCCTCCTTTGTACTATTCTTGTCATATAAATTAAATCTTTATGTACTATGATCACATTAGTACAGTTTTATAATTATTTCTTTATGCAGTTGTCTTTTAAATCAGATAGGAGAAATAACCTTATACTGTATTTTACATTTACCTATATATCTATTGTTATGTATCTATTGTTACTGGCCATCTTTACACTTTAATGTAGATTTAAGTTACTATCTAGAGTCATTTTTTGTTTGTTTGTTTTGTTTTTGTTTTTTGTTTTTCTTTGAGACAGAGTCTTGCTCTGTCGCCCAAGCTGGAGTGCAGTGCTCCATCTAGGATGCTTGCTGCATCCCGCTCCCTGGGTTCAAGCAATTCTCATGCCTCAGCCTCCTGAGTAGTTGGGACTATAGACACACACCACCATGCCCAGCTAATTTTTAAATTCTTTGTAGAGATGGGGTTTCACCATGTTGGCCAGGCTGGTCTCCAACCCTTGACCTCAGGTGATCCGCCCACCTCAGCTTCCCAAAGTGCTGGGATTACAGGCATGAGCCACTGTGCCCAGCCGTGTTATTTTATTTCAACAATAAGCTTTTGTTTTAATATTATTTATAGGCCATGTCTTCTAATGTCAAATTCTCTGATTTTTTTTTTTGTATGTAAAATACTTCACGCATTCCAGGTTTGTTTTTTTTTTCAGATACTCATTTTTCAGGGATAGTTTTGCTAAATACAGTAGTCAGGGAAGACCTCTCTGATTAAATGACATGTGAGTTTAGCCTTTAGAGATTGAGTCTGATAGAGTCTGCAAGGAAGAATAAACTATGTTTAAAAATGCTATTAACTGAAAAGCATTTTAAGTTAATATTTAAAATGGGATTCAGCAAGTTGAAAAGTTAAAGGAAGTGGAATGAGTTGGAGACAAGGGAGCTAAGTGGAGCCAGCTCATGTTAGGTTTTGTTGGCTAATTGAAGGATTTGAAGCTTTTAGGTGCAATGGGAAGACCTACAAAGATTTTAAACAAAGAAATAATTTACTATGATATATCTTTTAAAAATATAATTCTAGCTGTTCCTTAGAATGTACAAGAAGAGGAAAATAAATCAGGAAAAAGAGACAGACACACCCCTACTTACATTAATAGCTATGTAGTGCTAGACCCATTCTACCAAATTCATGTATTTCATTAGACATGTGAAAATTGAAAACATGGCCAGCTTTCTAGTGTTGGCCGCATAGACAGAGTGAGACATGATGCTAGTGTTTCACCTCTACAGCATACTTCCAGGTCAGTAGATAAGGCAAATGGAGTCTCAGTCAACTGTGGGTCTGCTGGAAATGTCTGCCTCTGCACTGAATAGAAGAAGTTCAATGCAGGATTTCTAAAAGGCTTCAACAACAACTTGTCTTCCAGAGCTCTTGAATAAACTGCAGATTTAGCACATAAGCAAAATTGGAGAAGTATTAAAAGAGGCTGTGGGGGCCTGGCATACCACTCACTAGAGGGAAGGAGAAAGGCCAGAAGGCTCTGACAAGTTAAATGACTGGCATAAATTCCCAAGGGCAGAGACAGAAGAGCAAAGACAGGAAAGAGGTGATTAGGGTAAAAAGCAGATGGTGTAAATAGGCATTGGTTGGTTAATCTGCCTCACAATTAATATATTTTGCTTACTTGTGGATTTTTATTACCTAATTTTAAATTTTCTTTGGTTTAAAAGAATTAAGAATGCAGATTAATTTCTGTGTGATAGTCTATCCACTCTGCTTATTCTTCCTTCAAATCCAGCTGTGCAGGAGATGAAAGAGCTTCAACTGACCACCTGTGAAACAGCAAGTTTGTGAAAAACATGTTTCCAAAGTTGGAAGTTAAACACATTTATGTTCATTCAGAGGATTACTGATTTCAACAACTTTCTGTTACATCTTTGCCCTGAAAAAAAAGTGTTTGCT